TAATGGTAATGATGTTCAATGCGGATGATATTGGTAAGGGATGATATTAGCAACAACAATTGCAAACATGATTACCAGAAAGGTGTTAGTAATGATAGTGATGATAATAATAATGATAAAAAAATTATGATGGTGATGATAATGATAATGGTGATGATGATGATAAGGATAGCGATGTGGTAAAGATGATGATGACGATTATTATTATTATTATTATTATTATTATTATTATTATTATTTTTATTATTATTATTATTATTATTATTATTATTATTATTATTATTATTATTATTATTATTATTATTATTATTATTTTTATTATTATTATTATAATTATTATTATTATTATTATTATTATCATCATTATCATCATTATTATTATTATAATAATTATTATTATTGTTAGTATCAGTACTAGGATTAGTAGTAGTAGTTGTTGTAAAGATACACAAATAATATTAATAATTGTTACTCTCATTTACCATAGATTATATTTATTCTCATAATCACTGCAATCATCACGTTTGTTGACTTATGCAATATTGGCCTTCATATTGGCCTCCTCCCAACATAAATCATCAACAGCGTCAAATAGGTTAAATGAATTGACTAACATGGTGCGAGCGATGCGTAATAATTGCAAAAAATCCAGGATAACTGTAAAAACCGTCCATGGGTTACAGGCAGCCAACATCAGTCGCAAGAAGGTTAGGCGCGAAGGAACACGATTTAGTTTATTGTTTTGGTTATTGCTATTCTTTTTGCTATTATTTTTACTTTTGTTATTATTATTATTTTTGTTATTATCATGATCATTATTATTGTTAATATTATTATTATTATTATTATTATTATTATTATTATTATTATCATTATTATTATCATTATTATTAATGTTATTATTATTATTATTATTATTATTATTATTATTATTGTTACATATTTGTTATTATTATTATTGTTACATATTTTGTTATTATTATTATTGTTACTAATATTATTATCAGCATTGTCATAATAATAATAATAATAATAATTATTATTGTTTGTGGTTTTATGATTATCAGTAGCATGACCATTATTAGTTTTTACATAATATATGCGGCTAGCTTAATAATTTGAAAGAAGAAAATTAAAATGCTCTATGAATCTAATTAGAAATCTCGCAGACTTAGGCGGTTTACTTTACCACAATTATTAGTTCAGTAAGGAGGCCATAACTTTTTTTTTTATATTATTTGCTTTACTCAAAAAAAAAAAATCTCTTAAACGGTTGCCGTTTGGCCATGAAACACCTCATCATAGATAATTCCCCGCCAGCTCTCTCTCCTCCATTTCTCCGGCGTAATAACCCGCACAAAATGTTTATCGACACTAAAATCCAGAGCAGTGTGTTTATGTTTTTCTGTTCGCGCGCACGGTGAGCGGGTGACTTTTTCCCCGCCGTGGAGGTTGTTTCGAAGTCGCTGCCGCCTCTGGGGAGGGGCGGGGAGAGAGGGAGGGTGATGGGGAGATGGGGACGGAGAGGGGAAGGAAGAAGGGGAGAAGGAGAGAGGGAGGAAGAAGGGAGGAAAGGAGAAGGTTAGCAATAAGAGGAGGAAGAAGAAGAGGTAGGAGTGAAGGAAGAATTGACAGAAGAAGAGGGTTATGAGACGTAAGGAGAAGAAATGAGGTTTAAATGAAAGGAGTGGAAGAGAGAGGGGAAGAAAGAGGAGGAAGGAGAGGATAGGAAGGGGAGTAAGAGAGAGAGGGGAGTAAGAAAGAAATGATGTCAAAAAAGGGTAAGAGAGTAAAGAGAGAGAGAAAAAAAGAAAGAAAGAAAGTGAAAGAAAGATAAAGAAAGATAAGGAGAGAAAGAGAGACAGAAGAGAGAGAAGAGAAGGAAAGGAAAAGAGAAACAGGCAGGGAAATAGACAGTGAATGATGCACAAAAAAGGGGGGGGGGGGCATCGAGCCGCATTCCTTCCCTGGGGAGGTGATGTAAGGCAGACATTTTGTTTTAACTTTTTGTTCGATTTTTACCTACCCGTAGTCAACCTTCCATGCCATTATTCACAAACCAATTCTAATTCGGTTTAAATCATGGGACATATTCCCTCATTCATGAAAAGTGGGTCTCGCTTTACAGCTTTCATTTGTTTTTTTCCAGTTATTTCATGAACGAGTCATCGAGGCGAATGTACAAACAGTATGAATAAGAATGAATAATTCCAAAACGAAAGATATTCCAGATTTAAAACCGAAACGATGATTGCGTCCCACCGTATCATTATTCATTCTCACACACGCCTTTCCTACAATAAATGAACAAATGAGATAAAATACAAGATATCTAAATTACCCAGTGTTTAATTTGACGGAAAATTAATTCAGGCTCTGACGTGTTGCAGGAACTGGTGCAGAATCCGATCTTCATCTCTGAGGAAAATTACCAGTTCGACATCGTTCACGGCAAGCTGGGTGAGTGAGTTTGTTTACGTTTTCTTTGCATCGGGGGAGA